CACAGTCCACCCGATGGTAAGTAAATACTGTGGTCCATAGACATCTACATTTATCCTCAATAAAGAATCAAAATGCAGATGCGCCGGCACCCGTGAGGATTAAGATGGAATGCCTCTTTTCCAGTAAAATGGTCACAGCAACCACTTACCATCAGGTGGACTGTGTGCTCGTTTGTCACCCTATCCTATAAAAAACGTCGCCTTTTGTTTCTAAATATGACGTCATTATCTTATATTAAAACAAACTGTATTTATAATATATATATATATATACAGTTTGTTTATATATATTATATATTAGAATATTACTTGAGTGCGCAGGAATTGCATAAACTACTTTTTATAATTGGCGAGTCTCCACCCTTTCGTTGTCGATTTACCACGCATTCGGATCAAACAGTTTGCTACATCGTTCGAGTGAAATAAGTTGCCAACATCTGTCTTTCCGTACGATTATAATGTGGGTGTCTTCAAGGCAGGTGGAGGCTTTTGTTGAGTCAGTGAGCTTCACCATCTTTGACTGCATCATTAATTACCATCAGGTGGGATAGTGGCTAGGCGCTGGCTAAGAATAGTAAAAAAAAATATAGATCTTATGGTTATGTACGACTTAAGTATAACAAAGAAGAATGTGCCAAATGATGCTATATTGAGTTTGTGGTTGTGTAGATGTTGGGGTAACTATCTATAACTCTTTTAACAATTTTCCATCTAAACACATTTTTTAACATAGTCCAAGTAATTTGCTGCTCGTTGGACTCTACTTACCCTCTCATGGATTCCAAGTTTGATGCTATGTATGTAGTTATTATTTATTAATTCAAAATTAAACAGCTGACAACCTTCATGCTTGTGCTGAAACAAAATATTTACTTTCACGCTAATGTTGCCTTTTGGTGCTATGTTCAACTAAACTCATGTTTAATAAATCAAAATGTCTCATGTTGGTCCAATCTCCGCTCAAATTTGTAATCAAACGCCTTCAAATTACAGTTCAGATTTCTCTAAAGTCATTTAGTTTATAGGTTTCAATTTAATTATTCCAGATTAGTCATAGGTAAAGATTGCGCGACATTATTTAAAAATACTATTAATTGTTTATGTTATAGTGTATTGTGGGCAAAGGAATACGTGAGAAACGATCGATTACAAAAGGGTTTTATATACCTATGTACCTATGTACATACCTAATCTACGACGCACCGTAACCTACTACCAAGCAAGTTAAAACATTTTTCATAACAAATACATACAAATCATCATTTCTTTGTAGAGCCGGGTTGGTATTTTACAAGCTAAGTTGCTGTGCATTTTATCTTAATCCATAAACGGAGCAACGTCTTTATCACTACAGCCCACCACAAGTCCACTTCTGAACATAGGCATTCCAACATTCCAGCGAAGTACAATTATGGGCCACTTGCATCCATCGACTACTTCCGCGTTTCATTAGATTGTTCACTCCATCTAGTGGGAGGTCGCACAAATCTTGGCTGCCACTCGACAACAGTTTCTCCCATCGGTTATCGGTTTTAGGGTGGCAACACATCTTCAAAATAATTAAGATTTAGTTTAAGTTGTTTTATTTTTGTGTCAATTTTTTAATAACATTTAAAATGTTTAAATAAAGATATTTTTCTTGATTTTTTTTAGTGTTAGGAAATTCCTGTAAAAAGTTATTATAAGGTCCAATTGCAAGGTTTCGCGAATAAAAATAATGATATCGACGTCGGATTGGTTTTATCGATGCACAATTATGTAATTAAAGCTTGATTATGTTTGTTACCAAAATCAGTTCAGCGGTTTTTGATAAATTAACTAAAGAATTAGCAAAATTGTAATGCAATTGATAATATGTACTATTTACTCATTCATGTTCTGAATATGATTTGAGTAATTTTAATGTAAACATTTAAAGGTATTCCTATTTTTTTAATTTCATATTTCTAGTTAAAGTAAAATAAAGTTAGAGCCTATATAGGTTCCACGGTTGGGCACAGAGCATACATTTCTATTTATTCCTAGTCATTGTTCCTATTATGGATGTCCCTGGTACTGTGGCTCGCTGTATAGCGATTTTATAGGAAAAGGGTGACAAATGAGCATACAGTCCACCTGATTGTAAGTGGTTGCTGTGACCTACACATCTAAATCCATCCTCAATAAAGAATCAAAATGCATTGTCACCCGTGAGGACTAAGATGGAATCTCTAGCCGACCCATTCGTACTACAACTATACCACAATATAGCTGCAGTATGGCTCTACCACGTGAAAATGTGTACGTGTACGTGAGTGTAAAGAACCGGAGACCCTTTTTACTGGAAATGAGGCATTCCATCTTAGTCCTCACGGGTGACAACGCATCTGCATTTTGATTCGTAATCGAAGATAGATGTAGATGTTTATGGGCTACAGCAACCACTTACCATCAGGTGGACTGTGCCTATATATCTACCTATATATCTACGGCTAAGCAGCAGCATCGATACTGTTTCAGTTTTTTCATCAAGTTTCTAATGGTCAGTATAATGACGCCGTATATTGGCAGCGTAAGAGATTCTACCATCCTACATCATTCCGTTAGCGTCGTAAGAGGCGACGGAGGAAAACGAAATAGGATATGCGCAGCAGCATCGCCCTGATAACAACTCAAAATAATATAATACTGCGTTTGTTAACTCGCCTTCTAAGTGTGGTAACCATGGCAAATATCTCGCCTCTTAGGTAGTCTATAAGGGAAGCCCATGTTCAGCAGTACTGCGTTTGTTAACTCGCCTTCTAAGTGTGGTAACCATGGCAAATATCTCGCCCCTTAGGTAGTCTATAAGGGAAGCCCATGTTCAGCAGTACTGCGGTTGTTAACTCACCTTCTAAGTGTGGTAACCATGGCAAATATCTCGCCCCTTAGGTAGTCTATAAGGGAAGCCCATGTTCAGCAGTACTGCGGTTGTTAACTCGCCTTCTAAGTGTGGTAACCATGGCAAGTATCTCGCCTCTTAGGTAGTCTATAAGGGAAGCCCATGTTCAGCAGTACTGCAGTTGTTATTTCGCCTTCTAAGTGTGGTAACCATAGCAAATATCTCGCCTCTTAGGTAGTCTATAAGGGAAGCCCATGTTCAGCAGTACTGCGGTTGTTAACTCGCCTTCTAAGTGTGGTAACCATAGCAAATATCTCGCCTCTTAGGTAGTCTATAAGGGAAGCCCATGTACAGCAGTACTGCAGTTGTTATTTCGCCTTCTAAGTGTGGTAACCATGGCAAATATCTCGCCTCTTAGGTAGTCTATAAGGGAAGCCCATGTTCAGCAGTACTGCGGTTGTTAACTCGCCTTCTAAGTGTGGTAACCATAGCAAATATCTCGCCTCTTAGGTAGTCTATAAGGGAAGCCCATGTTCAGCAGTACTGCGATTGTTAACTCGCCTTCTAAGTGTGGTAACCATAGCAAATATCTCGCCTCTTAGGTAGTCTATAAGGGAAGCCCATGTTCAGCAGTACTGCGGCTGTTAACTCGCCTTCTAAGTGTCGTAACCATGGCAAATATCTCGCCTCTTAGGTAGTCTATAAGGGAAGCCCATGTTCAGCAGTACTGCGGCTGTTAACTCGCCTTCTAAGTGTCGTAACCATGGCAAATATCTCGCCTCTTAGATAGTCTATAAGGGAAGCCCATGTTCAGCAGTACTGCGGCTGTTAACTCGCCTTCTAAGTGTCGTAACCATGGCAAATATCTCGCCTCGTAGGTAGTCTATAAGGGAAGCCCATGTTCAGCAGTACTGCGGTTGTTAACTCGCCTTCTAAGTGTCGTAACCATGGCAAATATCTCGCCTCTTAGGTAGTCTATAAGGGAAGCCCATGTTCAGCAGTACTGCGGTTGTTAACTCGCCTTCTAAGTGTGGTAACCATGGCAAATATCTCGCCTCTTAGGTAGTCTATAAGGGAAGCCCATGTTCAGCAGTACTGCGGTTGTTAACTCGCCTTCTAAGTGTGGCAACCATGACAAATATCTCGCCTCTTAGGTAGTCTATAAGGGAAGCCCATGTTCAGCAGTACTGCGGTTGCTAACTCGCCTTCTAAGTGTGGTAACTATGGAAAATATCTCGCCCCTTAGGTAGTCTATAAGGGAAGCCCATGTTCAGCAGTACTGCGGTTGTTAACTCGCCTTCTAAGTGCGGTAACCATGGCAAATATCTCGCCCCTTAGGTAGTCTATAAGGGAAGCCCATGTTCAGCAGTACTGCGGTTGTTAACTCGCCTTCTAAGTGTGGCAACCATGGCAAATATCTCGCCTCTTAGGTAGTCTATAAGGGAAGCCCATGTTCAGCAGTACTGCGGTTGTTAACTCGCCTTCTAAGTGTGGCAACCATGGCAAATATCTCGCCCCATAGGTAGTCTATAAGGGAAGCCCATGTTCAGCAGTACTGCGATTGTTAACTCGCCTTCTAAGTGTGGTAACCATGGCAAATATCTCGCCTCTTAGGAAGTCTATAAGGGAAGCCCATGTACAGCAGTACTGCGGTTGTTATTTTGCCTTCTAAGTGTGGTAACCATTTAGGTAGTCTGTAAGAGAAGTCTATGTTCAGCAGTGGACTCTTGACAGGCTGTGATGAATGTATGAATGAATAAAAATGATGAGACATTCCTTCTTAATGATGTTAGCAATAATGTAGCATAATTTGATTGAAGTTTGCTTATATGTTGTTAACTCCAATGATCACTAACCATCATGTTGACTGCTAGGTCTTTTGTCACTATCTGTTTATCTATATCTATTTCATATCTATTTGAACATAAAATTAAAGAGAAAAAAAGCTTTTACTCCAATATCATAATAGTAATGATATATTTTATTTGAAGCATTTGGTGTTTTTTGATTTTTTTAATTTAGTTTCGAAATAAGCTTTTGATAAAAACAATCTGCACTGACATCTTACGTTATAATATAAAATTAAGACGCAGTATATTATAGTACTAAGGATTATTATTGTTTTTCTTTTCTGTTACAGATTGTATTCAAAACATAAGAGCAGTATCGATTCAGTCTTTTCAAGAGTAGCGAAGAGGTGTGCCGCAGGGTGCTATTGTAGGTCGTACACTTTATACCAATTATAGTTAATGATATTGTGTGACGGACAGTATTGAATATTTAACATACAACAATCTGTGATATCTGGATGTGTCTCCAACGGGACGAAGACGATGATGATCATATAAATGATTTGGTGAGTTTTTTCTTATTGAATATTTATATACAACTGTTTAATTTTTTTCGAAGCAATTTTTTTTTGAACCTTGAAAGTTGGTATTTGAATGTAAAAAATTACGAACAATTCACTCTGTTATCCGCGCTTATTTTAAACATGGATAAAATTATTAAAAATATTTATAATAATTATATACTTTTTATATAAAGTACAACCGACTTAAAAAATAACATTCCACATAATACGGCTTCTGAAGTCGGTGCTAATTCCGAGTATGTGCAAACATTTTCTTTTAATTTTTGAAGTCAGTTCTACATCTATTAAAAGCTTAATTATTTTACCCATTTCAGTTGTTTAAGTTAAAGGATAATCACAAGTTAAAGGTAATGTTTAAATGGACACATTAAAATCTTTATTCACCATTTCCCACCCTTAGGGATGGAATTTTTTACCTTTTAATTTACATTTGAAGTATAATCTTATACTTTATCATTAATAAAAAAATTATTTAAATCAGTTTAGCCATTTCCAAGAAATCGGTAAACAAACTTAAAAAAAACATAATAAACATCGAAATAAATTTTTCGTTTTTGTGAACGCTTCTTTAGATTTTTCATCACGTGTGATGGCCTGAATGAACTTATTTTCTTTCTAAATTATTATATACATAGCGGGTTCCAACATATGTGCAGTAGTACAGATCTGCATGCTGTGACTATCTGTGTCTCAGATCATATTGCGGAAGCGTTATTATATCGGGCAAACGATACGGGACACCACGAATAATTCCGAAGCTTTCCCCGGTTTTCCGGTCATTTGACGATCCCATCTTTGATGTAGTGTTTCTTATGTTACAATATTGCGTCAAACTTTGAAATTAAAAAAAATATATTTCATACAAACCAAAAATAGCCGAAATGATATTTTGTTTTTCGACTTAGATTATGGTATGCCAATCTAAGTTAAAATGTTGGACTTAGATTGTAATAATAAATCAATTTCATGATGATAACTGGTTTTATCATTTCGATCAACTAGAATTTAAACAGAATGGTGGTATAAAATGCAATGATAAGAGGCAGAAGCTTTTATTTCCTTACCTGCTATAAAATAAATTATTAGAGACATTATTTGCGCAGTAAGTAAAAGTAAATTCAAAACAGTGTCAAAACATACTTCTTATAAATATTTTAGCCTACTTAAGTAAGGAGGAGTTCGACGTTAATGTTCTACTGTGCGATCAAGAGTGTCTTTACTCATTTAAATTTGAAGAAAAAATTCCACCCGAAGTTTTTTTATTTATAAAATTGAATAAAACATAGTATAAAATTTAATTATATATTAATATGAATAAAAACTATAATAAAGAAAACGTAAAACTAAAAATTTTATTGAGAAACGAATTTTACACTATAAAGTTCTTTGTAGTCGGAAGTTAACTTTTTGATATTAGAGTGATAAACGAGGTAAGGTCTATCTGATATTATGTGGCTACTCATTGACACTTTCTTGTAAAGCAAAGGTGACAAACGAGCACACAGTATACCTGATTCGGAGTCGGAAGGTAAATTGTTCCATCAACACCTGCTTCTGTCCTCGATCAAGAATCAAAATGTACTTACGTTGTCACTCTTGAGAAGTAGATGTAACGCCCGTTACCAGTATAAAGGGTCTTTGGTTTTCATTACTCACCAGCAGTTTACTTCAAAGAAAAAAGGCTAACAACATTTAAAGGTGGTAGAGCCATGCTGCAGCTATATTAATTGTATAGTTATACCACGATTTGGTCGGCTCGACCGGGGAAGGACCACGCTGTCACAGAATACCAGCGTAAAATAGCAGCTTAATGCTGCTGTGTTTCGTATGGTGAGTGTAGAGAACCGGATACCCATTTAACTGGAAACGAGGCATTCTATCTTAGCCTTCATGTGTCACAACGCATCTGCATTTTGATTCGTAATCGAGGATAGATGTAGATGTCTATGGGCCACAGCAACCTCTTACCATCACTAAAGCTTCGCGCTTAGAGTGAAAAAGGTGACGGTACAATCAACATTGACCAATACTTAGGTTTGAACTCTAGAACACGACTACTGAGCGAGTATGTAGATCACTAAACCAAGCGATCCTTAAAAATAAATATTATGCAATCGATAACACCTCGGATCGATGTACGTATATTTATAAAATAATCATTTTTCGTATCGTATAGTTTCATAATCGCGCTTTTTTGTTTTCAATCGATTTTTTTTGTTTATGACAGCACAGTAAGCGTTTTGGAAACTTGTTTGTATTAGTTGCTCTCGTTGCGTTAAAGTTTACGTTTCGTTGGTGTTGTTATGTGAAAACAAAGGTCTGGACGGTTTGCGTTCTATATGTACTTTTTTGTTTACTTGCTACACTAGCGATCCACCCCGGCTTTGCACGGGTGATTTAGATTTAGAACAGCGCCACCTACCTGGTCCAATTTTGAATCTAAACTATTCCTGAATCAACTTAATCACACACAAAATTATTCATTGAGTTTTGTCACATACGGACAGAAAAATTATATATATATATATATATATATATATATATATATATATATATATATATATATATACATAAGCGTCATTATCAGCATGCGGCAATCCACTGCTGGACATAGCCTCTCCCAATGCGCGCCACTTCGGCCTTCGATACTTACACACATCCAGTTTGTACCAGCCACCTTGTGCAGATAGTGACTCCATCTAGTCAGGAGGCGTCTCACACTACGTTTGCCTAGACGCGGTCTCCACTCCATAATACGTCTACTTCACCGGTTCTCACTTCAGCGACAGATATGACCAGCCCATTTGTCACTTCGGTTTACAAACACGGAAGGCAATGTCAGTAATCTTGGTTCTCCGTCTTCCGTTCGGTGATGAAACCATAGATGGTAAATTCCACTGTCTTACCGTAACAAAAGTTTTCACCCTTGTCTTGAAAGATAGACGTCGGCAGATTATTCCACTCCTTTGATCTATGCATTCTAAAAGAGAAAGAAAATCGTTTGTTCTTCTTTCTTTCTTTATCGATCCGTAAAAGTCGACTGCTGGACTGCATGAACTGCTGGTTTCTCCCGTTATAGGGGTAATGGCCTCAATTGTCACGCTTGGCAGTCTGGGTGACCTTCGTCTAGACGTCCAGATGTCTAGCACCTTTAATTATGCCGTTCGTCGTTGGCCTGGATAAGTTTTTGGTCACTGCTTAAATACATTTAATGGTATTATGTACTGTACTGATTGCCTCGTTGGCCTACTGTTCGTAAATGCCTTTGCTGTTCATGAGGTCCCGGGTTAGAATCCTGGGTTGGACCTCAATCAGTTTTTGATTTTTTTGTCTAGACATTCTTAGTAGTATCCTGGAGTCAGGAAGTTGGCGGTGTTTCACCCAAACGCCTCGGAAAGTACGTAAATCTTGCGCCTCATCTCTCTTAAGTCGTGTCGAATTACTGTCCCATCGAATTATAAGAGTATGGAGAGTGCACCTGTATTCGTGCTCTGGCACACACTCGGGCACTTCAATCCTGGCCTGCGAAGATCCTTCACCATTCGGGTTGCACTTCTTTGGTACACCTTGCCCGATGGCATGAGGAAAACACCCAGTAACACGCTTCTAAAAGTAAGTTCATGAACATTTATTAAAGACAACGTTTGTCATAATATGAGTCATCCGAGTGTAGGTATAGTAAGTATTGTATAAACGTATTTGTTCCATATTGCTACAAGGTGTAGTGTAGTTAAATTCTCACCACTCTCTTGGTTGACTAGTAAAGAATTCCATAAATAATAATACTATTATACATAACAATCGTTTTCTATAGGTATGACCCTGAAACCATGGAAGTTATATTAGATTGGGGGTGAGTCTTCTGTGCATTCCACTAATTGCTATGCTGTTAATATGCTGTCAAAAATTAAGTTTAAATAAACCCTATGGTTCTATAGGGTTTCGTTTGTCCACATTCAAGTGCAAAGCCACGTTAAATTAAAGATTCGAATTATTCATTTTGAATATAATTTAAAATTATAAATTTTGTACAGCCGACTTCAATATAAGTTATTAAGAATAACTCATAAACTATTAGTCTGACTGACTGATTAGTATTGATTAAATTCATATGGAACCACATGTGAAGTACCAGCTTTCAAATAAAAAAAGAATCATCGAAATCGGTTCACCCAGTAAAAAGTTATGAGGTAACACACATTAAAAAAAAACATACAGTCGAATTGAGTACCGTCTCCTTTTTGATGTCGGCAGAAAAATTAAGGACTGACTTAATATCTTGTTTGTTAAATAAATAATTAATGTATTATTCATGTATGTAACACGCAGATGTCGTGACCAGGATTAAAAATGGATTGCTTCGGTGGTTTATTCATTTAAAAATAATGAAGGAGGAAAGAGTGGCAAAGCAACAGTATGTTGTAAACATGTGTGGCAAAGTTGGCAAGCCACGTCCTAGACGGAAGTTTATTAACCAAACTGGTGATATATTGAAGATAGGTCAAATTAAGAGTACCCTTAACCAACGAACATCTATGCGTAGGTATATGGACTTGGAAGTGTCATGATGGTGCCTAATAGAGCACGGAACACCCACCGTATTTGCCGCTGTTCTTCACCGTTGGTCCTATATATTAATTATGAACATATTTTTCTTGTTTAGGGCTCCGTACCCAAACGGTAACCAACCGCACCCTATTAATAAGGCTCCGCTATCCGTCCGTCTATCAGCGGGCTGTATCTCATGATCCGTAATAGGTAGACAGTTGAAATTTAATGAATGTATTTCTGTTGCCGCTATAAAACATGTGATAAAAATTAAAATTAATTAAAAATTAAAAGGGTCTCCCGTACTAGTAACGTGTATTACGATGGTACGGAACCCACAATGCGCGAGTACGACTCGCACTTTGCCGGTTTTTATTTATAGAACTGTGGTGCCAAGCGAACTTACATTTCACCTGATGGTAAGTGGCTGCTGC